TACAATTCAGTGTCTCTACCTCCATAGTTTCTGTTGTGCTCCAACGACTTTTATTACTATTTAGAATTACTTGCCCTCCAGCAGGAGAGCGTCTCTGGTAAATAAACACAGCTGTGTGCAGCAGTGCAGCAGTACCTTACCACTCCTGGCAACACACCTGTGGTATTGCTATAGACACTCACTTTCTGAAAAGCCTTCCATGTGTCAAACTAAGCAAAGAGTAGTTTAAGTTTTCATTTACACAGTCTTATTTGCCCCAACGCATCCCTGAAGATCACAGAAATTACATGTACACAGACCTCTAGGTCAAATTCCTTTTTAAGAAATAACGCTGCAAAACAGTATTTTGAATAGGGTAATAAATGCATCACACATCATTCCGTGAGTAAGAAACAGGAAAGCAGCCAGCAATTTGGAGTTAACATCAAAGCAACGTCGACAAGAATTTTCAGTGTGGGAAAGGCTCAAAGCCTCCCTCCTCGGGACGCCCCCCCTGGCTGCCAAGCAGGCATCCTTTCCACACCAGATCCCAGAGCCAGTCCAGACCCCAAAACTCCCACAAGATTTGTTCTTTTGCTAGTGTCTGTTTTTAAAGTGTCCTTGTGATAAGTGAGGGGATGTGTGTATGAATAACATGGTAACAAAACTAATTTTGAAAGCGGAGTATCAGAAAACCATACCAAGATTTGCTTCAGGATTTCTAATATCAATGAGAAGTTCATATTGTATCTGTGATTCACCTGTGAGAAATAGCTTTTGCCGATTTCAACTTTTATATCAATTTTGCTTATTCATTATTTTTTTCAACAAGTGAAAGAAGTCCCATTAATGTCAGACCTGGATTTAAATTTTAAACTAGTTCTATCCCAGTGCAACTTTATTTTCAGTTCAGCTACATGTGATTTTATACTACTCTGGGACTTTCATTGGTGTGAAGACTTCAGGAATAAATACAACTACTTTTAGGTATAAAGCTGATTCTTCACTCCATTACGCTAGTTTAATGATATTGCTTACCACAGGGGTCAGTCAAATTAAACTAATTCAGTTTCTGTGCATCAAAAAGGGGACTTGGTAACAAATTTTACATTTAGAAATCCTCTTAAATACAAATACTGTTATAGACATTTCGTCTATATAGCCATTTTTATATAAGCTCTGTTTGTAGTCTCTTTACGTTTTCTGACTTGATGTTCACTGGTGTCATCACCACCTACAATTCACATTACATTTAGAGAAGACACAGCTTTTTAGTAGCTATAGAAATAGGCCAGCAACAATCGGAGTGTACTGCAGAATTCTTCAGTGACCAGAATAACTTTTGACCAGTGTGCGTATCTAATGAATTCTCACCCTAGTTCTCACATCCATCCTCCGTACCTTGGTGCAGAGCATTAGTACAAACGAGATGCTCAGCTTTTAAAGATTGGTGAAGTATCTACATCCTGAATTTAATTTTCTATATTTTTCCTTTCTCTTCACTAGAGGCTTTCCATAGATAGAAATTTTTCTTTGCTTAAAAAGAAAGAAAGCATAATCCTGTGATTATGACACAAGAACAGAAGTTGTTGTAAAATCAAGACATTGTACATTCCTGACTTCACCATAGACTTTCGGCATATCCACACAAGTGCCGGGTGAATGTGGTTTCCTCCCTATGCATAAAATGGCTGCAATACAGCACACAGGAGGTATATAATCTAAACCAATTGACAATTTTAAGGCATTTACATGCACAGGCAGAAAGTGTTGATGTAAACTCGCACTCATTTCAAGACTTTTGAAGGGCCTTTTCCTTTTAGAAAGTAGGTTGGAACTAAAAAAGTTTGAAAGAACAAAGACCTATGCCAGGTACACGCAGTGTATGTTATTGAATTTCTCAGTCTGTTTACTAGCACTATATATTATACCTAACAAAACTGTTTCACTTACCAAATATATTAGTCATAGTACTGCTAAAACACAATGTTTAGAAGGCAGTGGTATTTGTGAATCTGTGTATGCATTTATAGCATGGAATTTGATACAGCAGCTCTGCAAGATAAATGCTAAGATATTTATAGAAGCAGGTACCAAGTCAGAGATTGCTCCCTAAACTTCTGTTTTATTTAATTAAATATAATTAATTATATAAGTAAATTAATCACCCAATCATATGGGTCACTGAGACAAATTAAACAAAGATCTGAAAAGGCAAGTGAAAGGAGAAATATCAGGAGCAATTTCATTATGGAAAAAGTTCCCAGGGATTTCAAATCTTACTCAACACAGGTAAATTTTACGCTATTGGGCATGACAGTATTGCTGACTTTTATGTTAGCATGGAATGATGAGTGTTTTATAGCACTACAAAATTTCAAAACATTAATAAGTATTACAAAATTTTACCTACAATCTTGCAAAACTATCAGCATAAAGAAACTGATCTGTTACTGATGTCAGCTGAGCCATTCCACTTCCATGTCAACAATTATATAAGATAGCACAGAAAAGACGGTGTTGAAATTGCTTTGCTAAGCAAGAAATTAATTTGTAGCTCTCTCTAAGCTAAGCAGTTCAGAGATCTGGCAGATCATATGATAAAAGTAAGTACATGCATCTCTCTCAAAAATTTAGCTTCACAAATTTAGTTTCCCTTTTCTCCTCACTTTTCCCATAATCGGTGTGTACACTGGTTCTGTGGTACACATATCAAGGAATGAAAATCTATAGAATCTGCTTGTAAACTGGCAAACCTTCCCAATGGTGAGTAACCTTGATTCCACGAAGTTCACCAGCATGAAGAAGTCACAGAGCAGAAGAGGTCATCTCCTAACCTAAAGCATGCAGCCAGGTTTGTGCTTTTGCATGTCTCCCACATATTCTAAAAAGTCACAGTAAGATCCTGGCTTCCATCAATAGAAATGTCCCATTTATTTCAGTGTTTAAATAGATTAATCTGACTTGGCTTAGAGGCTTATACTAGGAAAAAACGGAGTTCACCTTAGGAATGAAATTTTTCTCTGCTGACTGTAAAATGAGCAGAGGATGACTAAATCCGTCAGAGACATGTATATAGTTGATGCTTACATTTTGACATTCCACTGTGGAAGCCAAACTAAATTTCTAGACAAATTGCCAGAGCTCTCAGTCAGCATAATGCTTGCCTGCATGTAGCAACATATACTTGAAATAGGGGGAACATTTTCTGTCTTAAATTAGGTGTTGAAATACCACTGAAGTGGGCAGGAAATGTGACCAGAATGTCACAGTTAAGTCACTAGTTGCTGCAGAGACTTCCAGTTCAGAGGCATCAGCTCATGTCGGGCAGTGTGGGGTTCCCCTCCTCTCCCACACTGGTTGGCGCCTGGAGGCAGGCAGCGCTGAGCAGTTCTCAGTCTTGAGTCAAATCTGCATTGAGACTTCATGAAAGAGGAGAAAGAAGAGCAGAGATGGCAGCAGCAGAAGTTCCTCACCTCAGTGCTTCTCCCTTGTCCACCATGCCCTTCCCCTGCCATCCTGATCTAGCTACACTGTCCCCTTGGCATGCTGTCTTTCCCCTGCAACTTTCAAATTTTCCCTTCACCTTCCTTCCCTCAGAATGGCTAGGGTAAAGTTTACCCTATTGTCTCTAACCACACAACACCCCCAAGCCCTGCTTGATTGCATGATCCGTGCACATCCTTTTGCTCAAGCTCTGCTTCCCACCACTCTGGTAAACTGGCGGCCTCCTTCCCTCGTGGCGCAGCGTGCAGCTGGACATCTAAAAGCCTAGCGTTAGTGAACACTGGAATATCTTGCTGGAAATAGCAATAAGGTAACGCTGGTCAAGCTGGTTAGTCTGGACAGGGTCTGGATGGTTCCCCACCTGTCTCAAGTATGAGAGGTCATGACAGAAGAGTCATGGGAGTGGGAGCGAGAAGGATAGGCAGGAGAAGGGGATACTGAGATCATCTCCACAAAAGCTGGAAACCACCGCTGACCCACTTTCCATCTTTTGTGACCGAACTGCAAGGAAATTAACTGGACTTGGAGCCTAAAGCTGACTTAAAGTTTTATATAAACGCCTCTTTTCTTTAAACAAGTGAGTAGTCTCTCTCTTTGTAAAGTCCTCTGGAAATCAACTGTGATCTTATAAGGCCACAATCTTGAAAATCTAGTCACACAAGATCTGTATTCTACACAGAGTTAAAAGCATGCAAGCTTTTTGGCTGGTGTAATGCTGACATACAGCTGCGTAGAGACAGGGCTGAAATTTGATCAAAAACAAGGCAGGAAAATTAGAAGGTGTGTGGCTGGATTTTAATGAAGTTATGCTGATAATTTAAAAATCCAGGGTTTAGGTGCACTTCAGAATACACTATATGAATTCTGATGCAGACTCTGGTTGAAATCGATATTGTAGTTTGGTCCATATGCGTTTGTTCTGCATTATGAGACAGCACTGATTGCTTGCATCTAAGTATGTGTCAATCGTGAAAATTAAAGGCAACTAAATATGCAACTTCCCTGTTAGTATTCTCCTCCTACCTATATTTTCCAGGTACAAAACCTTGTACAAAACAGCATCAAAATAAAAAGAAGAGTCAGCTTAACTCTGTAAAATGCATCTATACCCCTTGATTACAAAATAGGTTCTCCTGTACAGTCTCTTTCCCACCTTCCCCGCAGCAGGCTCATGAGCTAGGTGCGAGCACAGCTCCCTCTAGAGCCTGAGTATCAGGCGAAACCAGAGCCCGCAAAGGCCCGGCCCGGGGAATTTGCTTTAACTGCTTAGAAAGGCAGGAGGGTGAGAAAGAGCCATGTATACCCCAGAGAGGGCAGGGGGCAAAGGCTGCGGGCTGAGATTCAGGACAACAACTGACAGAGACAGATTCTGTGTTACCTGTGAAAACGGCATACCTTTCCCACGTCAGCTTGGAGGAAAAGGGTGAGCAGGTCCCTGGATTATGGGGGAGGTGAGGTACAAATCCCTCAACGCTCGAACCTCCTTTGCTGTCTATCCTGGCAGGTGAGCCTTGATGGCCTCCACGGAGCGAGAGAGCAGAGGATGTGAGCGGGCTGAGCTGCTGTGTCAAACGTTTCGTGTGCTGAGGCAAGAACCGACATACTTAGCCCTTCAGGGATGTAAGCTAATTAACCCAACACCACTGCCACAGGATCAGCTGCCCGCCAGAGGTGGTTGGAGCCCCCTCGCCCTTGACAGCCCGCCAACGGTTGGTGGTGGTTGAAGCTGGCTGTCAAGTGTCGCCCAGTTTCACCAGTATTCCGTCCTGTGGCCAACAGAGAGGAAGCGAGGGGTGGTACAAGCGTGTGGGGACACCGAGAAGGCGGGGAGACATGTCCAGGTGTGCTCGCACATCCAGTTGGGCCTCCCCCCGGGGGACACGGTGCCGGGGCCAGAGCCGTCCGGGGTCGGGGGAGGGACGCGCCGCCCCTTCCCTCAGCCCCCTTTCTCCTTACAGCAATGCCAGTTGTCCCGAAGGCCCCCTCGTCCGCTTGCTCAACCCGGCGGTGCCTAAGCGCTTC